TAGAAAGGGGGGAAACAAAAAAATGACCTCCTGAACTCGTGTTTCTGACGTGTTTGACAGAGTCTGTCTGGCAGGAACCTCACACGCTGTTTTAATAACGAGCAGCCTGTGAGTTCTCAGCCGCGCGTGGATGAGCCCATAGGGCGGGGATGTCGAAAAATTTAAAAAATAATTAAAAATCAAAGTGCGAATAGGTGGAATTAACACCAGGCAAAAGCAAATCAGTAGGACGCGGCCCTGCGTGAGGTTTTTGCACGCACATGTCGTCCCAGGTTGGTCCCGACCCTGATTAAATTGGAATCCTTAAAGTGTGGTGACAGCAGGTGGCATGCGGGTGAGGAAATAACTTGGTAAATGCAGTTTTACTCTGAAGGATCCTCTCAGAAGAGCGCAGTACGATGCGAAAGCGTCTTAATGCTTCAGCATCTGCTGCAGTGCGCGTTGCAAAAAAAGTCTCCGGCGCACTTTACGCTTTTTAAGAAAGCAGAAGTTTTAATGCGCTGGTTTTAGAAAGTGGGCCTCCCAGGTGTTATTTGAAAACACCTTGTGATGCGTACGGATCTTTAACGTTCGAGAGGTTTTTCCACGTGGGGAATGGGGTAATTGGTCCCGAGCGGCAGTTTGCTGAGCCCGTGTCCTCTGGAGATACCAGTCAGGTGCAGACTTGTGGTGGTGTCCCTCGTGAAACACCTCTCTGGCCAACACAAGAGGACGCAGAGGGATTTTGGCAGGGCTGGCAGGCCATGTTTACCTCCCATTTCTCACATTCGTTTTCAAGAACGAGCACTGCTTTGCTAGGAAAAAAGGTATTTCGTGGCTTATTATAGAAGTGAAATGGAGAAAGTCAGGCCTGCTTTTGTGGCAGCATGTTTGGAGTAAAAGTCGCTTTTCCATTTGAAAATCTGGTGGGTTTTCTGGTGTGAGACTGTAGTTCTAGCAGTATGAGAGCATTTGATGCCACGGTATCGGCAGGATTTGTTTCCTCTGTGAAGGTATTGGAGTTTAAAACTATCCCACTCCTCTGTGAAGGTGCAGGTGGTTTGACTGGTGAATCACCAGTTCAAAGCTTTGCGATCCTATGAAAAAGAAGGAACTCGTGTTTTTGGTTAGGCTTCACCCAGGAACCAGGTTTTTCTGAGCGAGGGGCGTTGGGCTGGAAATTCAAAAGACGTGAATTGTTCATTCCAGTTCTGCAGCATACCTCCTCCGTGACATGGGGCTTGTTTGCTTTCCTTGCTGAAGCTTTCCCTCTTAAAATGAAATGGTCCTCCTTAGTCTGAGAGCCCTTTTCAAAGTAAACCCGAGGAAGTTTTAACCCCTGCCTTTCCCCAGGGAGCGAGGATCGCGTAGCAAGCAGGGTATGTCATGCAAACTTCACATTAAGTACAGCTTGTGAGTTAAGGAAGACATTGTTCATTTGGGTGTGTTGGCTTGGATATCATTACAACTGTAACTTCTTTAGCCCCACCCAAATACGACATTGCGTGTCAGGCAGGAACTTAGTTCTTTTTTTAGAAAAAAAAAATTGAAGAATTGGCGGCTTTTAATTTAAAAGATAGTTCACAATTCTTGAGCCAGCCTCGATGTTTCTTGTTGGTTTTTTTTTTTTTCCCCTCCTAAATGTTTTGGCAAGAAAATAATATAACAGAAGAGTGATATGTTCATCCAGATCTTTCTAAAGAAGCGTAAACAGGCCTTTTGGCTGAGTGGAAAAGACGGCTGTATTTAAGATCCTTCAGATGTCTTAGTGAAGAAGATAATGCCCACGGGAAGTTATTATTTAAAAATTCTTCCAGAAGGCATGGTGGGGGGGAAGTTCAGTGGCACAGCGTATTCTTAAGCTATTTTAAGTAAGTGCACGAGGAGGTGAGTCTCAGGGAGCGTGTGCGGGGCTGTGAATGTGGCAACACTGGCTTCATTTTGGTGCACGTCAAAGTAAGAAACGCTTGTTTTACTTGTAAAGTACCTTTCAGAGGAAAAAAAAATTAACTTGCTTGCTTTGATGCTGCTTTGAAAGTTGACCCTTTCATTTTAACATGGATTACTAATGTCTTGTGTGCTCTGACAGGTTTTGTTACCTGCAGTATTGTAGGAGCGTGCACTTGTGCAAAATACAGTTTGATTGAAATGCTGCCTAAAAAAAGGTGAATGAGAAGAGTCGTATGATCTACGGTGACTTTTTTTTATAAAGGTATAGTTTCTCAGTTTATGTGGTCAGAAGGCTAGAAGGAAAAATCCGCTTCAGTTCCAGCTTACCTTAGGTGTTGTTTTGCGGTGAAAGAGTGGGTATCTCTCCCGGAGCAGCTCCGCATTCCGTTGATGTGTTTCACCTGATGTTTCAGGGATAAGGCGCATTGGCAGGAGGCCTGATCAGCAGCAGCAGCAGCAACAGCAGGGTGAAGGCAAGCCTATTGACAGGAGACCGGAGAGACGACCTCCTCGGGAGCGCCGCTTCGATAAACCGGCTGAGGAGAAAGGCGAAGGAGGCGAATTCTCTGTTGATAAGTAAGAATTTTGTCTTGCGTGATAAAGAACTTCCCTAGCATTGATAGGAAGGGGCGCTGGCCTGCCTTCTGCTGCTACATTCAAAAACCAAACAACTGATTGAATCAGAATTAAATGGATTGAATTAAATTCTGTGTCAGTCGCAAGAACAGCATGTGTCATACAGACTCTAGCGCTTTCCTTTTCCATGATTTTATTTCCAAACTGGAGACGGTGATCTAACGTGAAGAGTTCCACTGGTGTAACTCTCACAGTTTAAATCACTAAGGTGTCCACCATATCTCTCTAAATCTGTAGCAGATAGCTCAGGAAGGGCTCTCAAGTATAGCTGCTGCCTGCGATGAGATCTGATGAGACCTATTTGCTGTTACAGCTGCTACTTAAATCCATACAGCTGACTTCAGGAAAAATTTGCCTGTGTAGGTGTTTACACCTTGACTGCAGTGGCTTCAGATCTGGAAGTGGTGAAGCTGCTTTATATCACTTGAAGTGTCTGGAGTATCATGAGGGATCCAGAATTGAAGTGTTCCAAAAGCAATGTTTCAAATACTAAAACTTTAATAACGAAAGTTACAATCCCTTTCAAAGTAAGTTGGATGAATGTGAGTTAAATTGAAATCGTAGTATCAGCTAGTTACGTAGCACAATGCGAGCACTGCCTACTGGAATTTAGCACCAGAAGATGCAAGCAAACGACGATCCTGAGCATTTGTTTCTAGATTCTAAAATGCAGGTATTATGTACGTGAGTTTTTCCCAGTGTAATAATTTGACATTGAAATTAGAGCCTCGACACAGTTGCAGACAGTAATTATCAAAAGAGAAGTAAATCAGATTCTTGAAAGAGGAAAAAGAAAACCTTGAAAACCACACTCTAAGTTTTGGGGGTGGAATACTCACGTTTAGCTGTCCCATGCTAGACCCATTATCGACCGACCTATGCGTGGACGTGGTGGACTTGGAAGAGGACGTGGACGCGGCCGTGGAATGGGCAGAGGAGACGGGTTTGACTCTCGTGGCAAACGTGAATTTGACAGACATAGTGGCAGCGATAGATCGTAAGTCTCTAACTTGCTCTGTTGTCTCTTAACTGTTCTTTACAGTTAATACACATTTTTAAAATTTACTTTTGAATTTCTGTATCTGGACACTATAATGTTAACTCAGTTTTGTTAGTTCTGTTTCACATTCACATTTCAGCGGCCTAAAGCATGAGGACAAGCGTGGTGGCAGCGGATCGCACAACTGGGGAACCGTCAAAGACGAGCTAACGTTAGTAACCTGTAATTGCTCAGAAAGCTATTAGCTGAATGTTAATAAATTGTAATTCTTACTGTTAGCTGCCTTTTTTTTAATATATAATTTTTGTTGTGCTATTAAAGCAACCTTTGAAGAATTTAGAAAATGAGCCATTTCTTGTAAGAGATGGCTTTGCTGTTATTGGGGCAAATTCCGAACGGGGAGGTCTTGTGCTAGTTTCTTTTTGCTGAAAACAGAACATTGTAACAACTTTGTTTGGGTTAAGCATGCTTTTTTACGTTGAAAGCAGTATTTTTAATAGCCAAATCCATTTTTTGTCTGGTGTGGTGGGAGGCTTTCAGAATGTTGGGGAAAACCATTGGGAAGGTGAGAAGCACAGAATTTAACAGGCACAGGGAGCACCAATCCTTAATGAAATAGTTCTTTGTGAAGAGGAGTGGGCTCTATAGGTCCCTTGTAGAACTTAGTCATTAATCTTGCGTAGCTTTAAATAGGGATGAACTTTTAAAAACGAAGCTCCCAACGTTATGTAATTGCAGTGAATTGGATCAGTCAGCTGCAACTGAGGAAACGCCGGAGGGAGAGGAACATCCACCTGCTGACTCTGAAAACAAGTGAGTACCACTCCTCTTCATGCTCTCCCATTCCTTTGAAGGTGCTGTTCCTTTGCTATCTTGAAACTGTTTTAGTCTTGTGCAGGCTCTTGAGTTGCTTCCAGATTTAGTTACTAATAATTGGTTCTAATACACTTGGGGTCTCCAAAGTACCAAATCTAGAAGCATCTGTACTCATATCTGGGTAGGACTACCAAGCAAAAGGATCAAGATGTTCTCCTGCAGGTGGAAGGCCACTTTTTTCCAACTTAGTTTTGCAGAACAACTGTCCAAACTATGCCTAGCCTGTAGAAGAAAGGTTGTATCTCTTTCCTTCTCCGGCTTAGCTCTACGCAACCAATTTTCAAAGAAGGTAACCTGGTTGCCTCTCATTCCACTTGGACATGGTTGCAGAAGGAACTGGGGACTGGATGAATGAAATAGAGTAACTAGAGATGCAAAAGGGTCAGTGCTGATACTTCGAGTTGATGTAAGAAACGTGATACAAATTTTTAGCATATGGTAGTGCAGCGAAATGTTGTATTTTAATGAGAAATGTGCTGAATTCAAAAGACGATGGCAAACAGATAACGAGTACTTGAAAAATTCTACCTTTGCACAAGATTTCTAGTGTGGCCTTTCCTACGACTTGATTTCCTCATCGATAACTTAGATTAGTGGCAAAGAGAATAGATTACTGTGCAGAGAATATAAAAGGGATTTAGATTAACTGAAAAAAGGCAAAATGCTATTACTTTTCAAAGATTGTGGTGGCCAAGTCTAAGGCCCGCAGTATGAGAATTTTTAAGGAATTGCAGCATGGGCTTTGGTCAGAAAACACAGACTAGCTAGTCTTTTAAAAATATTTATGAATTGAGAATCTGGATATATTAAATCTGCTGTGTCTGCAGTATTGCCTGGATCTTTATTAGTGGCAGCATCCTGGTGCTTGACCGGATACTGACCCACCTGTGTGGAGATGAGTTACTGCAAAACTCTGCCGGCTATTTGCATGTGTTTTTTCTTCCTCAAACCTGCAGAAAATATTTACTGTCCTCGGGTTCAAGCATAACACACGTGTTGTAAACCAACAGGTATCTTCACAGAAAAGCATTTTTCCGTGAGTTAGTTTTCAAGTTGGCTAGTTTGGTCTGGATTGCTGACTGAAGTGTTTCAGCAGAGCTCTAGGATGCGTGACTGCTGTAAAATGTGCAGAATGCTGAGGAGCGATATTTTTGACTTGGAACAAAAACACCCCAATTCTGAATGTATGCTGTGTCAAAAAATCATTGTGTCCTACGGAATGAGAAAAAAAATTGACATGGTAGTTTTGATGTAAAACCTCTGCGTTATTAAATCAGAATCAAGGACTGCAGAATGAAGGCCTTTTAGGTTGAGGCTTTCACAGTCTTTTTGCTGCATACACATGCCACTAGTTTCCTGCAAATCAGAAATTTAGTTGCAGAAACACTGAAGAATGACCAGAGGATCGACTGCCTGTGTAGTTGGAACATGATCTGTTACTGAGCGCAGTGGTTGTGCGATTTACTTTGGGGCTGAAGGTAGAGGCACCAGAGATTTACAATGAGGTGATATGTTGCACAAATAACCAAGTTGTAGGCCGTTGTTTTTTCAAGTTAGCCGAAAGTAAAAATTGTTGCGGTCACCTGGAAAATTAATAATTGCCTTCCGTTTAATAAAGGAAGCAGACTATACAGAGCAGGTTAAATTAGGGTTTTTTAGAAAACTAGCAAGCTTGAAAATTGTGGTGAGAACAAGCTCTCTCTCACTGCCTTAACTTGAACCTTGGAGTGATCTTGAAAAAAGAGGAAGAAGCTCTGAAATCTGTTGCAGAAGTTAGGCTCTCATATTTGTAAAGAAAATCGTCAATGTGGAGAACAGATGACATAAGTCAGTGTTAATTTTAACATTTTGCCATGCTGTTCTCACCATTTAATTGCTTAAAGGTGTCTGACTGTGATATTTTTTTACTTTTGGGGGGCACCGGCTAAAGGAGATGAGTTTTCTTATGTACTTTGAGTGGTGGAAATGAGGAGTTTACATATATACACCTCTTTACTGCTAAATACTTGACAACCTCTTTTTTTTCCTTTTTCTTTTTTAAATCTGGTGCTGATTAACAACTGATTTTGAATTTGTCGTATCTAGAACGTGAGTTCTAAGTCATGATCATAATATCCATGAATTCACTGCAGAGAGAATGAGGTTGAAGAAGTTAAGGAAGAAGGTCCTAAGGAAATGACCCTGGACGAATGGAAAGCTATTCAAAGTAAGGATCGTGCAAAAGTCGAGTTCAACATCCGTAAACCAAATGAGGGTGCTGATGGGCAATGGAAAAAAGGATTTGTTCTTCACAAGTCAAAGAGCGAGGAGGTAAAGTGGTTTTCAGTACTTGCTAGTATCCAGACTGCATAGGTTTTTCTGTTGATAAACACTTCTTGGAGTGGAAGCTCCGTTCTCGGAGATGCTGACCTGTAGCTGAAAGTTTGTAAAGTGGGAACAGCGTTTCTGTGTGTAAAACTGGAGTTTTAGGCGGTAGCACAAGTCGCTGTTCTCGCCGTAGTTGGTTTTAGTGGTTGATCTGTACCCTTAGGTTGGTGTATGCTGTGATACAATCTAGAGGTAAGACTGGAATATTGGTAACTTTGTAAGGATGGTCTTCTGGTGAGCATTTTAGAAAATTTGTCAATATCAAATCTATGTGGGTGTGGTTTTTTTTTTAAAATTGCATTTAGCATCTCTGTTAGGTGCTTGCTAAACATGATGCAAGATTGAAGAAATACTGATCGTGCCTCAGACATGTTAATGCCTAAACTGTTTGCCTCGAGTTTGTAACATTGGTATCTTCTCATCTTGTAATATTATGTAGACAAATGTCTTTGAAGCTTTTGAGAAACCAGAGGAAATACGTTTGTCTGTTTCAATGACAATCAACATAGTCGTCGTGGAATTATTTTAAAATTGCAGTTTCTCCAGTGTATTCATTGTAGTCATTGCAAAACTTGAAATACTCTATTCCAGGATAGCGTGACGTATTGTTTCCCTTCAGGAGGGGAGGAAGGTGCTGAGAGCTCTGTGTTCTGATGCCGGGCTTCATTAATCTTTGGATTTAATCTTTGTTATTAATACACTGTATAATAATGACCCACTGTTAGTTGGTGGCCTGCAACTTTGTTTTTATGGTTCTGACTCCCTTTGAAGTCCGTGAATAAGATGTTTGGTCTTCTAACATGCTTTGGCACATCTTGTCAGCTTTTTCTTGTAAGCTGGGGGCGTGATACAGGTGAGGAGGCACGATTCAGGAGCTTCACAGTTGATAACTCCACTTGTAATCTCACTGAGCATGGAATGAATTTGGCTTTGGTACAGTCATGCTCTTTTCTTCTGTGTGAGGTCGTTCTTTAAGTGATTGTGTGTCTTTTTGTTCGCCTTAAGCTGTCCAGTGTTAGAAGTGTTCATTAAATGGTGCTTTCTCTGGCTGAGATCATCAAGTCCAGATAGGCTGGGTTTGATGATCTCAGAGATCTTTTCTGGCCTCAATAATAATTCTGTGATTCTATGTAGAAAAGGGAAATGGAGTTAAACTTAATCTTGCTGTATACTGAGAGTATATTTAAGCATGTGTTTATATATTTTACCAGGATTTGTCTGTAGTACTTCAAGTTCTTCCAGCCCAAATCTCTCTGAAGCAGATTTATTTGATGATCAGCTCAAGTATTTTTTTATTTTTAACATACCCGTGTGTACGATTGTGTGAGAAGGTGGTGGTACTCTGCGAGTAGTTTAGAAGTTAGACAGATCCGTCCTGTATTTTCCATTTGACAAATGAATTGGTAGCTAAACAAAACCAATGAAGATAACTAATCAAATTATTTTCACGGAAGAACTGACATAATTGGTAGGTTGTTTTATTTGAGAGATGTATTCAGTTAACTTCTTTTTTTCAAAGTCATCTATTTTTAACACTGCTGCTGAAGTTAACAGCCCCAGAACTGAGCAGACCTGAGATCCTAACAAAACTGCCTGTAAATGGAGATGCTTTCTGCCTGCTTTTATTGTCTGTCCAGCAGATGTCTGTCTGTCCCCACTTCATTTAGTCATTTTTGACTGATCCCTTGGGAAGCAATGCGGGTTGGGTTTTCTTTGTGAAGTATTGCAGTGGAATAGCTCCCTAACAGAGGCGTAGGGAAAAACCTTCGTGGCGCCTCCTTTGTGAGCAGGTTTAGAAGGTGGAATATTTAGAAATTGTGATCAAAACCTTCCAGTCACCTACTGTTCTTCTGTTTGTCCTCTTCGATTTGCTTGGGAATTGTGAAGTTTAGGTTGATGTGATGTTTCTGTGATTCTTATTGATAAGGGAGTTGATGTGTGGAAGTGACTTGGTTTATAGGTGATTTCTGGGTTTCGGCTCCAGGTAGATTTTCTCAGGAATTTGGGCTGAAGTTGTTTTGACCACCCTTACTCCCGTAGCTTGAGAATTGCTGGCAGGATGCCCAAAGAGTCTGTTGGAGCAGGGAGCAGGAGGATCTTCTGTCCATCTGCCTTACTCTTGTGAAAGAGCTGCCCTCCTCCTGCTTGTGCTCTTCCCTGCGGGATGAAGCTCTTGGCCTTGCCTGAGGTCTTTCCTCTCTTTTGCATTTGCTGCTGAATTACTAGAAAGTGATAGTTCGCATAAAATTCTTAGTCCTGTCTCTGATTCTTGCTGGTTTAATATGAAATCCATGTGTATTGGCAGCCCTAGTCTAATGCGACTCTTTCCAGAAGATTGAGTTGTGCCATAAAAGAGAGATCCTCTTTTTCCTTCTCTGCAGTTGGTTTAGTGGCTTGAGCTTTTTAAGTTCTGCTGGCGCAGCTGAACAAAAAAACAGGAAGAAGTTAAATTGTGGAGAGATCTTAAAGTATGTTCAAAAAGCTGGATGCAAGTCTCCTGGAAAGATTGATGCACTAGTAGATCAGTTCCTAATCCACATATCTGCTGTGCCGTGCCCTCGCCTCTTTTCTGTGCCCTCAAACTTTCTTGCTAATCTAACCACTTCCTCAGAGGAGGTTACAGTGAGAGGCCAAGAAATATGCTTTGGAAAAGAATAGTTCATCTTCTGAAAATCTGGAGGAAAGACTCTTTGAGTGGAGGCTCTGCAGAAACCTTTTCTCCTTAACAGTGATTTGAAGCATCCACCCTCTTGCTGTCCGCGGTGTGCCTGCTGTGTCGCGCTGTGCTGGAGACCAGCCTGCGTGCCGTGATCTCTGCTCGAGTTTCCAGCAGCTTGTGTCAAAGCTTTTTTTTTGGTATTCATCGGAGATTTCTCTTGTCTCCACGCCTGTGCTGCAGTCCATCCTCTAGGCTGTCTGGCTGCTTGCTCAGCTGTTGATCTCATCCTTTTGCTGCTTTGTGTGCTCAGTGACATCTGTAGCCAGCAAGTTCATGTGACCTGATTACCTGTTGTTTCTGTATGTAGTCGAGTCTCATTTCTTCCTTTTGTTTTCTCCCTTTGTTCCTTTTTTTGTCACTTTGGCATGGACACACAACTTTCATCAGACAAAGGCGATGACAGAAATGCAGGGGAGTCTGCTGGAGTCAAATGAGGTACTGGTCCTTTATATCTCACTGGTAATACCTGTGTTATAACGTGAGCCCCTTCTGAAATGAAGGTCTGGATATTAAGAAGTCAGAAAAATAGAGAATGCAATAGAGAATACAAGATGAAGCTTTTCTGTCCCTGCCTGTTGTCTCACTGTGCACCACGTAGAGCCCTTGCTCCTAACTGAACTGAATTCAAACCTTACCATAAATGCTTTTATCACACGTCTCTTTCTGTTGTTTTTGCTGCTGTTGTTTTTCCATATCTCAGTCTCTGGTTTGGCCCCCTTTCCATCAGTAGCTTGTTCTTAATTTCTGACAGCTTTTCCCAAGACCCACGAGAGCAGCAGTGCCTTCCAGAAGCTCTCATTTGCTGAGAGCTGCCAGTATGTGTGAATGAAGTGCTTCCAAGGATGATTTGGAAGAAGCAGTTTGTCTTTCATTGGTGTTTTAAATGAGCTTTAGTCACTTTGGATAGAGAAGTCGGTGGCTTACATACAGAGTTTGATTTTTGTTGGTTTAGTGGTTAAGCCAAAGTTAAGTTGTGAAAATATGATGGTCTTGGTAAGACTGTAGCGTTTCTTCTTTAAGCAATAACAGT